TGAGTGGGCTTGACAAACCACCTGTAGTAAACACACTCTTTCATCTCTCTGACGTTTTTCCAGACACTTGCACCAGTTTTGCACCAGACACTTTCTTACAATCTCTAAAAAGCATTGTGCAATTATGAGTGCGCCTCACACTGGTGAGTGGGCCTGACAAACCACCTGCAGAGAACACACTCTTTCATCTCTCTGACACTTTAACTGACATTCGCACCAGTTTTGCATATTTGCACCAGACACTTTCTTCGATCAATCCATATATCTCTAAAAAATAAAATAAAATTGTGCATTCATGAATGGTGCTTCACAAGTGAGTGGGCTTGACAAACCACCTGTATAAACACTCTGTAATCCGCACTTGTTGTGTGTATAACCTCTTGTCGAATCGCTGAATGCCTCCTCAGTTGTAATTCGCTTTGGATAAGAGCGTCTGCTAGACAACTAAATGTAAATACGGTCAAATAAGGACGAAAAGATGATATTTTGCTTTAGTGTTTTTGTATTACAGCACTCTTGAGTTAAACCATTAAACAGGAAGATGAATATAGTGAAGGAAAGAGCTTTTATGGATGTAAATTTAGCAACATGAGAAGCTGAAAACATGAAACAAACATTAATATCGTCTGTTTGGTCTGAATGTCTGATTAATGCAAATAAATCCATTTGATGAAAGTGAATTTGCTGTTATTTTTGTGTAATTGCAGGACATTTTTCTTTAAAAAAAAAAAAAAAAAAAAAAAAAAACACACAGTCTCGCACTTTTTACCGGCAGGACGGATGAGTTACTGCCTCAGCATAAACACACGGCCAAAAATGAAGATCTATAAAAGTGAGAAACTGTGGCGGGTTACAGATGTTTACTCTAGCGGTCATCGCTCTGTCCAGACTTAAACCTGACAGACAATTTCAGCATTTCACTCATCAATCTGCTCCTAAAAGCAGATATTGAGAGACTCTTCCTGTGAGAGTGGAAATCATCATTTTCCTGACTGAATAACCGCTTTCATTTCCTTTCAGGGAGGAACAAGTGGATATCAACACAGTCTCATGTCAGATTGCAATGCATTAAGTCAGTTTTAATGCACATATCAAATAACAAATAAAGATTTAAAGGACAAAAGCTGCAAATATATACTATTGAGGTACAATATGGACTCTTAAGGTACTAATAAGTAAAAAAAATTGTGCCTTTTGAAAGGGTGCTGACTTGTTGACAGCTTTTGTACATTTATTTCTGAGTGTACACTGATTTTCTTTTAATTACTGTTCTTTGTTAAAGCTGTTTATTCAAATTAAAGTTTTGACTCGGCTGAAACTGAAAAAAGTAAATTTAATATAAATTAAAATATTTATTCTGCCCAAAGGACTTTTTTTGTAATAATTTAACAAAATAATATAGATAAATAAAATGATGTTTTTATTGACCATGAATTAATTTATTTACTTTGGTTCTATTTAAAATGTTCTTTAATAAACATAAATATATGCAATGCTATTGCTATTTTATGGATCTCCTTCATTCATTCATTCATTTTCGGCTTAGTCCCTTTATTAATCAGGGGTCGCCACAGCAGAATGAACCGCCAACTTGTCCAGCATATGTTTTACACAGCGGATGCCCTTCCAGCCACAACCCATCACTGGGAAACACACACACTCACTCACACACTCATACACTACGGTCAATTTTAGCATACCCAACTCACCTGTACCACAACTCAAACCACCAGGCTCGAACCAGCGACCTTCTTGAGGCGTGAGGTGACCGTGCTACCCACGGCGCTACTGCATTGCCTATTTTACGGATCTTTTTTTTTCAAATTATATAAAAACTGTACAGCAATACTACTTATTGTCACATGATGCCCTTCCAGCTGCAACCCAGTACTGGGAAACTCACATTCACACACTACGGCCAATTGAGTTAACCAATTCCCCTATAGCGCATGTGTTTGGACTGTGGGGGAGAACATGCAAACTCCACACAGAAATACCAACTGACCCAGCCGGGACTCGAACCAGCGACTTTCTTGCTGTGAGGTGAAAGTGCTAACCACTGAGCCACTGTGTTGCTCCCATAATTTTTCAATCAATGCAATATAAAAGTAATGACATATTAACAAATAATCCTTCGTCAAAAGATCTTAGTTTAGTGGCTGGAGGAAATAATTTCACCGCTGAGGAACAGGGAAAATAAAGGTTCTGGAAATAATCCTTCGTCAAAACATTCAGCATATGATACTTTTCCTAAACAATTATTAAATAGCTAATCAAGCAAACCCATACTGGACCTTCAGTCCAGTAAGTGTCTATCTTCAAATAGTCACAATGAGTTATTCTTATAAAATTCAGCAATGACTTGACTGAAAAATAAATAAATCACAGAAATGTTTTTTTATTTGCAAAAAAAAAAAATCAACTAGATGACAAAAGACATGTATTAAATGAACTGCAACAGGTTTATTGGCAATGTTGGAACATTTAGAGGCTTTTATTATTATATTTGTTTTTTATTTCTCTTTACAGAAGAGTAACAGACATCATTCAGATTACTGAAGAGTTTGACACAACAGTGGCAGTTTAAAAAAAGAACAATAAACACATTTTAAGGTCCACTTTAAGTAAAATAACTAATCTGCTTGCACAATTTGGGCCCTATCATACACCCGGCGCAGTGTAGCGCAAGGCACGACGCAATTGTTGTTTGCTAGTTTCAGCTTGGAGCAAGAGTTGTTTTAATGTTTTGCAGCACGCTGTTTAGATAGCAAATGCATTTGCGCTCATATGTGCGCTCATAGGTGTTCTGGTCTAAAAAGGGAGGCATTGTTGAGGCGCATTGCTGGCGCGTTGCTATTTTGAGAAACTAAAATAGACTGTTCAATAGATCAAACCAAAGCAGGTTTAAAGTCCAGCACAGAGCGCTTTAGTTGTGTGCCTCGCTTACACACTGCTTAATACACACAAGATGTAGAGCAATACGCAAATATCTTTACATATGAAAAATAATTAAAGAATTAAAATATTATAAAAATGATTATTTTCTAGCCTACCTGAACATGAAAACCACCGCCTCCATGCCTCTTCAGGTTGGGAGGCTTTTTCAGTTCATTCATAACAATTTGCTTTTGTATGATGTTATTATTAGTAGTAGTAGTATTTGGTTATTATATCCATATTTATATTTGTTTTATTAAAAACAAGCTTAGATTTGCCCACCTGTCAGGTTTTAGACCATATGGGGCACAGCATGTGTTTTAGGATATAACTCACACTTCCTTATTATAGTTAATTTATATGTTTGCTGGAGATTAGAACTGAATTTAGTAATAGTTTTGAAACAAATCTTTGCGCTTAACAAACTAAATTAATTATGTAAGCTAATGGATGTCTGTGCGTACAACACATTTCTTTATCCACGAGAGTGAAAGCGAAAGTAAACAATGAGGAGGCTCATCTCTCATTCTCGGGCTGCAGATGCTCTGTTTAACTGTTTTTCTTGTTAGTGAAGCGTTCAGTTTTTCTACTTACAAAGTCATTTATGTAAACAGCAAATGCACTATGGTGCGACACAACTGACTCTTAAAGGGAATGGGAGATGAGACTCTGATTGATTTATTCTTAAAACACACCTATAACTCATTAAGAAAATAAATTCAACCCTGTCAGACCATGCACCATGGCGCAAAGTGGATTTTTCAGTCCTTAAAATAGCAAAAGTGGATTCTGACACGCCCTGAATGGGTTTGCACCCTGCACTTTGCACATGGATCGTCAAAATAGAGCCCTCTGTGGTAATACAGCTATATCTGAGTATAGTTATACTTGGTATTTCATTTATATGTACACTGACTGTAATATAAGATTATAAGTCAATGCAATGTGCTTTTTACATTACTTGAACTCAAAATAATTTAATTAACTTCACCTTCTAACTGAAGTTTTTTTTTTTTTTTTTTAAAGAGTTTCAAATATTTTTTTAGACTAAATTTGAAAGCTTTTACAATTAAATAAAAATTTCATTAAAAAAACACACATGTAATACGTCAAACACTGATAATTTTTTATGTCATTAGTAAAAAAAACAATACTAACACAGTAACTCGTGGTTCAGGCAGTGTTTTTGCTACAGTATTTAACATTTAGGTTGCTAGAAGTCTTCTTCATTGACTTCTTCAATGAACAGTTAGCAAAACAAACATGAGTATTCTAGCTGGTTTCTTTACACAGATCGCTATGCATCAGAAATGACCAACCCAAGCTCATTCTGGAAACGTAGCCCCGCGGACATTTCTGGAGACCGCGATTTACGTGGCCGGAGGTACGCAAGGCCGCGTTTAGTTTTTTCGAGCGAACGCTGTGGGGCGGCGTGGCGCAGCTCCGCCCCTTCTCTTCCTGCTCGCCGGCTGACGGTTCGCCTCCGAGTGGAGGGCTTTCCCGATGCAACCAGTTTGTCCGCTTAGCTCACAGCGGAGGCCCCGGACGAGGAGGAGCCGGCCGCGGGGACGACGACCAGGATCGAGTCCGAGGAACAGCGGTTCCGGAAATCAGGTAAGACGAAAAACAGAATCTGAAAAATAAGGGCGAGAACACGGCAGGATCCGAAAACGCAGTCGAAATCGAAGACGAGGGCTTTTGCCTTTTTTTTTTTTTTCTGGACGGCTTTTGCGAACCGTCGCTCGGGTTTAGGGAAGGAGGAGGAGGAAGAGGAGGGTGGCCGAGTCGGCCGATCCAGCGGCTTTTCGCGCGAGAACGGCGAGGGCGCGAACGGCGCGTGCTCCCGAGAGGCGCCCGAGACGCGAAAAAGCGTGCACAGCGGCCTCTCGTGGATCCGCGAAAACAAAAACCGCTCGAATACGTACCACTCGGGACGTAAATCGCAGTCCGCAGAAACGTCCGCGGGGCTATGTTTCCACAATGTGCCTGGGTTGCAACTGACAGATGTACAGTATAAGCAACTACTATCATGTTTTTTTTTTTAAAGAAATTTATACTTTTGTTTAGCAAGGATATATAACATTGATCAAAAATGTCAGTAAATACTTTTTTAAGTTACAAAAAAACATTTTAAAATAATGTTGTTCGACTGAACTTTCTACAGTTTCTGCGAAACTACAAAAAAAAAATACAATAAATTTTTTTTAACAATCATGATGATCAGAAATGTTTCTTGATCATCAAATTAGCATTCGAATGACTTCTGAATAAACTGAAAACTGGAGCAAAGATGCAGAAAATTCTGCTTTAGATTGCAGATATAAATTACAGTTCACTATACGGTACAGTACTGTATGTTCACACTACAAAACAGCTATTTTAATAATATTTCAAAAACGTCCTGTATTTTTGAACAAATAAATGCACTCTTGGTTGAGCGGTAGAGATGTATAGAGAGCAGAGAACATCAGAGAAATCCACAGGCAGTGATGGGCTGAAGCTAACAGCGGCTTCAGAATGATGTTCAAAGTCGGTGTAAACTCATCTGTTGGGATAAACGCCTGGTTCACTCGTCTCTCTCTGCTGTTGATCTGTCTCTCTGCCTGCGCTGAGACAGAAACTGCTGGACCACCGACGGCCAATCAGCAACATTCTCCACACGCACATGACCTCCGGAATGGGCCAATGAGATCTGACCACCTGCACAGAAACAGACACCACTGCTTGAGACACAAAATAAAATAAAATAAAATATATTATGAAAAAATTATGATCAAATGAACATTTAAAATATCAAATTTTCGAATAAAATACAAAATATTACATTTATATTTAAATTAACCAATAAATTAGATTTTTTCCACTTTTTTTTGTTTTCTTAATAAATAATTTAATATTTTACATCAAACATTTAAAATACATTTCACAAAAATATTGTGATAACAAAAGGTCATTATTGTTTTCATAGATTTAATTGTATTTTATCTTTAAATTTTACATTTGAAATTGAAATGAATCAAATTATATAAATTGTGTGTGTATGTACTCGCCCTCCGGCAGGATCTGTGTCCTCTTGTTTCCTCTGATGCCGCTGACAGATGCTTGAGACAGAAGATCCAGAGATCGAGATTCCGACAAACCTTCAGCATCTTCATCTTCATTCATCACATCACGAGACTCCGACGAGCACATCTTGCCTAAACACACAACAACACACATTAAAAAACTCACAGTTTCAGTACACTATCACATGTTTACTTTACACTGTAATAATGCTACATATTTTACTGGATTATTAAATAAGAGACTTTTTCAGAAACAGAACACAAGTCTAATTTTTGGCATTTCATTGAGTACATCTATATAGTTTCTTAATACATTATTTTAAATGACTTAAACGTACTGAAAATGACTGAAAACCATGGTATATGTGACAGTGGATTTAAAAAGACTTTTCTTACAGCTCTCCTAGAGTTAAATAGTTGAGTTTTACCATGTTTGAATTTATTCTGCTGATCTCTAGGTCTGGCGGTAGCACTTTTAGCTTAGCTTAGCATAAATCATTAAATCGGATTAGACCATTAGCATCTCCAAAATGACAAAAGATTTAAGATGTTGTGTACTAAAAATGACAGAAAATAAAAAGTTACAATTCTGATATGTCCAGAAACTCTACCCTCATTCCAGCGTAAATCAAGAAACTTTGCTGCTGTACCATGGTACTGTACATGATGCAACTACAGAAGCGTCAAGCGAGATGCTAATAGTACAATCCGATTCATGCTGTTTTTATCAAGTGTGATTAAATAAAATACAATTTATACATGTTTACTATTAGAACCTGCTTATATTCACACACTGCTGACACACAACTGTGTTTAAACCCATTATAAAGGTGATTTTTGCATAATAGCTCCACTTACAAAAAAATAAAAAAATACAATAAATGACACGAAATTTAGCTAAACAACAGTAAATGTGTCCATGGAATTAAATTGCCTTTTTTGTGGACAAAAAGGCTCATTTTACAACTCTCCTGGAGGTAAACAGTCAAAAAATACATTTTGAATTTATTTAGCCAATATCCGGGTCTGGTGGAAGGACTTTTAGCTTAGTTTAGCGTAGATCATTGAATCAGATTAGACCATTAGCATCTCCAAAATGAACAAAGACTTTTATTAATCGTTGTAATCAAAGCTGGACTCTTCTATTGTGTACTAAAACTGACTGAAAATAAATAGTTGCAGTTCTGATATGTCCAGAAACTCTGCTCTCATTCCAGTGTAATAATCAAGAAACTTTGCAGCTGTACCATGGTACTGTACATGATGCAGCTACAGAAGCGTCAAGCTTAAATTAGGAAAATTATGGAAACTCTTTGGTAATTTTTGAGCAAAATGCTAATGGTTAAATGCTGTTTTTACCAAGTGTGATTAAATAAAGTACAATTTATACATGTTTACCATTAGAAGCTGCTTATATTCACACACTGCTGACACACAACTGTGTTCGAACCCCTAAAAAAGTGATTTTTGCATAACAGCCCCCCTTACTGAAAAATTAAATGTACAATAAATGACACACGAAATTTAGCTAATGAACAGTAAATGTGACCATGGCATCAGATCAACTTTTTTTGTGGACAAAAAGGCTCATTTTAACCCTCCTAGAGGTAAACAGTTAAAAAGAGTACATTTTGAATTCATTCAGCCAATCTCCGGGTCTTGTGGGAGGACTTTTAGCTTAGCTTAGCATAGATCATTGAATCAGATTAGACCATTAGCACCTCACTCAAAAAATAACCAGAGTTTTCCTAATTAAACCTTGACTCAAAGCATGTATATGATGTAACTTCAGAAGAAGTAAAACAGGGAAACTTTCTTAAAGTTGGAAAATTATTAACACTTTGATAACTTTTGCGAGAGATGCTAATGGTCTAATCCGATTTAATGATATATGCTAAGCTAAACTAAGCTAAAAGTGCTCCCGTCAAACCCGAAGATCATTAGAAAGATCAATAAAAATCTTTGGTCAATTTGGAGATGCTAATGGTCTAATCTGATTCAATGATCTATGCTAAGCTAAGCTAAAAATCCCCTCACCAGACCAAATGAGCCTTTTTGTTTCCTATTTAACTCCAAAAATGGTAAAACTTAACAATTTAACTCTAAAATAACTGTACATTTAGAATATTTTCAAGAAAAAGTGTTTATAAACATGCAGATGATGACTAACGGATCATACCTGCACGTTTGCAGACAACTTTAACGGAGTAGAACAGGTTGGTGAACAGGTTAAACGGAGACGGGATGCCAGATTTGCGGCTCATATCTCGAATCAAAACAGCACGGCCAAACTTCCACTCGGTGTCGGACTGAGCCTGTATTCGCTGATATGTGTCGCTCATCATCGCAATCAGCAGATTAATCAACACGATAAACGTCACCACCAGATACACACCGAACACCATTTTAGCCAACACCGCCGTAGCAGGAGGCGATCGATCCACATCGGGGATTTTATCAGGCTCAGTCAAACCAAACAACGCAAAAAAAAGCAGCACGGACATATTTAACGGCCCAGGAACGGTCACTTCTGTCGTGGTATTGTGCTGTTCTTGTGGATAAAGCGGCTGGCATAATGCGGTGAGACTCAGTGTAAATGCAGTGTGAAACAACATCAGGATCACAGCAAATCTGCACAGATCTTTAATCAAGTCTCTGATGATTATCGCCCACGGCCCGAATAAATGATGAAATGTGAGGAATTCCAGAAGCTGGATGAAACCGAGAGTCATGGCGACGGCTAGCAGTACGTTACGAGCGAATAGACAATGCAGGTGTGTTGGCGGCCACCATTGGGTGAACACCGCCAGCAGGTGGCAGAGCAGAGCAGCAGCAGAAAAACCCAAAAGCAGCAGACGGATCCAGGCTAATCCAGTGCGCTCTCCGGGGAATGTCAGCTCAGAGACCAGCATCCCACACAGCCAGATGAGCAGCAGACACTCGCTCCAGCTGGGCATCAGACGGGCCTGGGATAGAGGACTCACGGGCGGGTACACGATGGTCAGGATGAACAGAGTCAGCAGGAAGATGTGGGACACCAGGTGGCTCATGAACTTCACGATTGGGATGGTGTTGAAGCTGTGTGGAAAAACAAGCAATTACATACAAACCAGGCTCATTATTGACACGTACCCCGTATACATTTTTATAAAGCGCGAAATACGTCCCAGGAGGTATGTTTTTTTCAGTTTTTGTTTTCGTGAATGCACCAGAGGCCGCTGTGTACGCTTTTTCAGATCTCAAATTTCTCTTCAGAGTGTCATTCATGCCTGCTGTTCTGCGTAAATCCTGACCGACTGATTGACCGACCCACCGATGTATACTCCCACCCTTCTCCTTACCTAAACCCAACCAATGGTGTTTTTAAAGCACCAATTGGCCCACCCACTCCTTTTCCTAAACCCAACCAACAGTGTTTTCAAAAGCACTGATTAACCCGCCCACCCCTTCCCTAAACCCAACCGATAGTGTTCTAAAAAGCACCGATTGATGCACTCACCCCCTTCCCTAAACCTAACCGATAGTGTTCTCAAAAGCACCAACTGACCTGCCCACCCCCTTCCTTAAACCCAACCAATAGTGTTCTCAAAAGCACCGATTGACCTGCCCACCCTCTTCCCTAAACCCAACCGATAGTGTTTTCAAAAGCACAGATTGATGTGCCCACCCCCTTCCCTAAACCCAACCGATAGTGTTCTCAAAAGCACCAATTGATGCGCTCACCCCCTTCCCTAAACCCAACCGATTGTGTTCTCAAAAGCACCGATTGATGCGCCCACCCCCTTCCCTAAACCCAACTGATAGTGTTCTCAAAAGCACCAACTGACCCGCCCACCCCCTTCCCTAAACCCAACCGATAGTGTTCTCAAAAGCACCGATTGATGCGCCCAACCCCTTAACTAAATCCAACCGATAGTGTTCTCAAAAGCACCGACTGACCTGCCCACCCCCTTCCCTAAACTAAACCGATAGTGTTCTCAAAAGCACCGACTGACCTGCCCACCCCTTCCCTAAACCCAACCGATAGTGTTCTCAAAAGCACTGATTGATGCGCCCACCCCCTTCCCTAAACCCAACCGATAGTGTTTTCAAAATCACAGACTGACCCACCCACCCCCTTCCCTAAACCCAACCGATAGTGTTTTCAAAATCACAGACTGACCCACCCACCCCCTTCCCTAAACCCAACCGATAGTGTTTTCAAAATCACAGACTGACCCACCCACCCCCTTCCCTAAACCCAACCGATAGTGTTCTCAAAAGAACCGATTGATGCACCGAGCCCCTTTCCTAAACCCAACCGATAGTGTTTTCAAAATCACAAACCGACCCGCCCACCCCCTTCCCTAAACTAAACCAAAAGTGTTCTCAAAAGCACCGATTGACTCGCCCACCCCCTTCCCTAAACCCAACCAATAGTGTTTTCAAAAGCATTGACTGACCCGCCAACCCCTTCCCTAAACCCAACTGACAGTGTTTCAAATGTAATCGAAATAGAAGCCGTCTGCAGTGTCATACTGCCCCATAGCGTTCGTTTTAAAGATGAAATGCAGCCATATGTACCTCTGGGTACATAATTCATGCTCTCCAGAAATGTATGCAGGAGTATGTTTTCACAATGAGCCTGTGTTAAATACATACATTCTCTGATTGGCTATTTTTCTCTCTCCCCGTAACTCCTGCCATTTATCAAAAATTATGTTGTTCCAGTGCATTAATCCAAACTGTACCTGTGTGTGAGTGGCAGAGCGAGCAGAAGCCACAATGGCGGACACAGAAGTAAACAGCAGAACAGCAGCAGGATCTTCCAGGAGTCCCACTGCAGACCTCCACACCACACCTCCGTCAGGTACGTCTGCACTGCCGGTTGGGATACCACGCCCTTCTGCCGGCCCTCGATCAGGCAGTCCAACACACTGAGCCCCCTGTGGTCCAGAGCCCTAAGTATGGGGCCTGCGCCAGCTCCCTGACCCCCAGCAGATGCAGATAGAGACAGCAGATCGGACGCCATGAGCTCACAGTGATGCGCTGCAGCCTGCAGATCCACCGAACGCTCCTTCTCTCTCAGCGCACAAAGGGTCAAAGCTCGAGATAGACGCACCGCAGTATCCAGAGGAGCAGATGTGTGTAAAACCAGCTCCTCCAGAGACAGATTATCATTCATTCGCCCGCACACCATCAGATTGAATATAAACTAGAGACAAGGACAAACACACTTTTGATTATCTTTCAAGAATAGGAACAATTTTTAAAATGCTTTAGAATTTATAAACGCATCAGCTGTTTGTTGTAAAATTGCTTTTATTCAGACACAAGATGGAGTATACACTAACCTGCGCATTATTCAGACACTAGATGCACCAAACAGACAAAAACACAAACAGCTGATGGAGCATACACTAACCTGCGCATTATTCAGACACTAGATGGCGCCAAACAGTCAAAAATACAAACAGCTGATGGAGTATACACTAACCTGCGCATTATTCAGACACTAAATGGCGCCAAACAGTCAAAAACACAAACAGCAGATGGAGTATACACTAACCTGCGCATTATTCAGACACTAGATGGGCCAAACAGTCAAAAACACAAACAGCAGATGGAGTATACACTAACCTGCGCATTATTCAGACACTAGATGGCGCCAAACAGTCAAAAATACAAACAGCTGATGGAGTATACACTAACCTGAGCATTATTCAGACACTAGATGGTGCCAAACAGTCAAAAACACAAACAGCAGATGGAGTATACACTAACCTGCGCATTATTCAGACACTAGATGGTGCCAAACAGTCAAAAACGCAAACAGCTGATGGAGTATACACTAACCTGCGCATTATTCAGACACTAGATGGCGCAAAACAGTCAAAAACACAAAAAGGTGATGGAGTATACACTAACCTGCGCATTATTCAGACACTAGATGGTGCAAAAAGTCAAAAAAACAAACAGCAGATGGAGTATACACTAACCTGCGCATTATTCAGACACTAGATGGGCCAAACAGTCAAAAACACAAACAGCAGATGGAGTATACACTAACCTGCGCATTATTCAGACACTAGATGGAGTATACACTAACCTGCGCATTATTCAGACACTAGATGGCGCAAAACAGTCAAAAACACAAACAGCTGATGGAGTATACACTAACCTGCGCATTATTCAGACACTAGATGGCGCAAAACAGTCAAAAACACAAACAGCTGATGGAGTATACACTAACCTGCGCATTATTCAGACACTAGATGGAGCCAAACAGTCAAAAACACAAACAGCTGATGGAGTATACACTAACCTGTGCATTATTCAGACACTAGATGGCGCCAAACAGTCAAAAATACAAACAGCTGATGGAGTATACACTAACCTGCGCATTATTCAGACACTAGATGGCGCAAAACAGTCAAAAACACAAAGCTGACAGAAACTAAAACAGACACAGACTGAGGAGTGCAGCAGTGAGTCTGACCTTCTTGTCGTCCAGCAGCCGGAGTGTGTTTTTCTCTCGTCTGAGCAGGAATATGACAGCGGACTCGTGGTTCTGCTGAGCCGCGTACTGCAGCGGCGTTCGTCCACCGTGACACTCAGCACAGGCGGACGCTCCACTCTCCACCAGAAATAACAACACCTCCAGACAGCCGGCTTCAGCAGCGTAATGCAGCGCTGTCCAGCCACTCTGAACACACACATGGACAAGTTACAAACCATATATAGACACATGTAATGAGTCCCTTACATTTACATTTAGTCATTTAGCAGACACTTTTATTCAAAGCCACTTACAAATGTGGACAAGGAAGCAATTTAAACAACTATAAAAGCAACAATGAATAAGTGCTGTAGGCAAGTTTCAGGTGTGTAAAGTGTAAGAAGCAAAACATTAGTAATTTTATTTTTGTAGTACAGTTAGTGGTGGAGCAAGAGAGGCAATTGCAGATTAGGAAGGGAAGTGGAGGCTAAATAGTTGAGTTTTTAGTGGTTTCTTGAAGACAGCGAGTGACTCTGCCGTTCTGATGCAGTTAGGGAGTTCATTCCACCAACTTGGCAGATTGAATGCGAGAGTTCGAGAAAGTGATTTCTTCCCTCTTTGGGATGGAACCACGAGGCGACGTTCATTTACAGAGCGCAAGTTTCTGGAGGGCACATACATCTGCAGAAGTGAGAGCAGATAAGGAGTAGCAAAGCCAGAAGTCGCTTTGTAAGCAAACATCAGAGCTTTGAATTTGATGCGAGCAGCAACTGGCAGCCAGTGCAAACGGATGAGCAGCGGAGTGACATGTGCTCTTTTAAGTTCATTAAAGACCACCCGTGCTGCTCAATTTACCCGGGTTTGCGAGCACAGCCACCTTCCTGCAGATTTCAGTTGCAACTCATATCAAACACACCTGCCTGTAATTATCATGTGGTGTTCAGGTCCTAATTAATCGGTTCAGGTGTGTTTGATATGGGTAGCAACTGAAATCTGCAGGAAGGTGGCTCTCCAGGAACAGGGTTGGCCACCCCTGCTCTACATGGAAGGTCATTCTCAAAAACCCATAATAGGGGCTCTTTAAATAATTTTAATTTTGAGATACACACTGTAAAAATATCCGTAAACTAGCAGATTTCCAAATTTTGTGACTTCTTGATTTTTTGAATGCTTTCATTTACCCCTTTTTTTTCTGTTTTTGAATTGCATTATAGGATCTTGATCTTTCTCCCTACAACTTTTAACCTTTAAAAGCTCAAAAAATGACTTTATTGAACATTTTTAATAGTTTAAAGTGCTAAATTGCCTGGGTTGGTGTCATATATTACACAACAAAAAAACTTGTAATGAACTGCAGCACATTTTCTGTCATTTTACAGACTGATTCCTCTATTTATTATACATTATATTATTTTCAAACTACTAAAATGTCAATAAAAGTCACTTTGTTAAACTGTAGAGTTGAATTTTCAACATCAAAAGTGGACAGAGCAGAGATCAACATCCCATAATACAACTCACAACCGCAAACAAACTGAAAACACACACACACACACAATACAGAAACTGTTTATTAGCATATAGTTTAACAGTGCATGAACTGAATCATTGAATAAAGTAAAGTGATTCTCCATGTTGAGGAGTCAGTCGTGCTCACCATGTCGGTATGATTGATTTCAGCTCCCTGTCCCAGCAGGACTCGCACCATGTCCACATGTCCATGTGCGGCAGCCAGATGCAGAGCAGAGCGTCCCCGTCTGTCCGTCTGATGGAGCAGAGATGAGGATCGGCTGAGCAGGAGACCCACCACTGCTGTGTGCCCGCTCTGAGCCGCCAGATGAAGAGGACTGGAGCCCTGAACACGTTGAACAGATTCAGGAATTGTTCACAGTATTTCCTATAATATTTGTTCTTCTGGAGAAAGTCTTATTTGTTTTATTTCGGCTAGAATAAAAGCAGTTCTTATTTGTTTTAAAGACATTTTAAGGTCATTATAAGCCCCCTTCAGCAATATTAGTTTTGGATTGTCTCCAGAACAAACCACTGTTATACAATGACTTGCCTAATTACCCTAACTTTACCTTAATCACCCTAGTTAAGCCTTTAAATGTCACTTTAAGCTGAATACTAGTGTCTATCTAATATCTAGTAATATCTAGTCTAATATTATTTACTGTCATCATGGCAAATATAAAATAAATCAGTTATTAGAGATGAGTTATTACAACTAATATGTTTAGAAATGTGCTCAATGATCTTCTCACCATTAAACAGAAATTAGGGAAACAATAAACAGGAGGGCAAATAATTCAGCTGTGTATACCCTGCTGAAAAATCCAGCTTGAACCAGCCTAGGCTGGTTTAAGATGTTTTTTTCAGTAGGGTATCCTGTAGACAAGCTCTGACCTGAATGTTTGTTTCTGCATCGGCTTGAACACCAGGACAGTTCAGCAGCAGGCGAACCACACTCTCATGACCCGACTGAGACGCCAGATGAAGAGGAGTGAAACCTGACTGAACACACACACACACACACACACACACACACACACACACACACACACACACACACACACACATGTGCACTGACATTTTCTGTGATGCTGCAATGAAACTTCATGAAGTTGTAATTATAAATAATCGATTGTCTGGGCACCAATACTCTGATTTTAATACGATTAAGACAATACTGATTAAGAGTGTACCATATAAACAGTTTTTTGATGACATTAATCTGACTAAAGTCATTGTAGGAGCCATACATTGTATATTGGCGATTGGCCACTAGGTGTCAGTAGGAGACTATAACTGTGGCTTCACTGCATGGAGGAAGAGAGCGTTGGTAGGAAGCAAAAAGTTTTGGAAGGTAACCCAGCGTGTCGTAGCTCAACTCAACATAACAACTTAAGGTAACAGAGAAGTGCATTAAGGAAAAGTGATGAAGTAATTCTGTTGATTGGAAAATAAAGATGTTTTTATTTGCATCTATTTTGCCTGCGGACTCTGACTTTACGCGTACAAAACTTGCTTGCTCTACCAACAATAGCGGCGATGGAACGCCATTACAGTCAGGGCTGGCACGTCCATAGAGGCGACCTAGGCGGCTGCCTCGGGTGGCAGAATAAAGGGGGCGCCGTCCCCCACACTACCCTCACCCCTCCGCGCCATCAGCTATTTCCGTGTCTAGGGTGGCAGAATAGAGGGGGCGGCGTCTGCGACACTACCCTCACCACCCGCGCCCTCTTATATCAGAGTCTAGGGCGACAAAGTAGAGAGGATGGCGTCCCCGACACTACCCGCACCCCTCCGTGCCATCAGTTATATCCACGTCTAGGGTGGCAGAATAGAGAGGGCGGCGTCTGCGACACTACCCTTACCAACCGCACCCTCTTATATCCGAGTCTAGGGCAACAAAATAGAGAGGGCGGCATCCCCGACACTAGCCGCACCCCTCCGCGCCATCAGTTATATCCGTGTCTAGGGCAGCAGCATAGAGAGGGCGGCGTCTGCGACACTACCCTTACCACCCGCGCCCTCTTATATTCGAGTCTAGGGCGACAAAATAGAGAGGGCGGCATCCCCGACACTACCCTCACCCCTCCGCGCCATTAGATATATCCGCGTCTAGGGCGGCAAAATAGAAAGGGTGGCGTCCGCGCACTCCCCCCCCCACACACACACACACATTAGGGTAAGGGTTAAGGGCGGCGTGACCTTCCTTTGCCTGGAGCAGCAGTTCAGCTTGCTCCGGCCCTGGCTACAGTCATAATTGAACTAAACACAAATCGAATTAAGATGTGGAGTATTCTTATTCTAGTCAAGTGTCATGTCATGTTCATCCGCATATCCGGGGTCGGGTCGTGGGGGCAGCAGTCTTAGGAGAGAACTCCAGACTTCCCTCTCCCCAGACACATTGTTGAAGTGCAATACAGAAATGAAAACATCAAACTATTACCGCTCCGTAGGTAACATTGGTTAACATTGGATAGCATGTTGAAGCAATGACGTTTATCAATCTATGTGCTATAACATGTGAAATGGGAACATGAACATTAGTCCTTTATTTATCAGGGCTCGCCACAGCGGAAAGAACCGCCAACTATTCCAGCATACGTTTTACTCAGAGGATGCCATTCCAGCCATAATTTAGATTAAGGTAAATAATTTGATTACTGATGCCCATGTAAACGTCGTCAGTGTGGTCGTGTCACCTCAGCTAACGGCTGTTGTCTCTTTATGTCGTCTTTGCCGGTGATTGTGGGGAATTCACTTCGTATCGTCGCAGGAACTTTAGTCAGGATTTCTCTGACGAAATTCATCTGTCCGAAAGAGGCCGCCACATGCAGAGCTGTAAACCCCGTCTACACACACACACACACGCACACACACACACACACACACACACACACACACACACACAGGTCACTGACAGTACAATACTCTGTTCTGCTTGGCTTTTACAAGTGATGAGATGAAGCACCTTAGAGCTCTGGATCTTCAGGGGAACGCTTCCTCTCAGCACCTCCAGGATGTGTGTGTGGCCGTGTTTGGCTGCCAGGTGAACAGCTGTCATGCCCTCCTGAAAGGGTCAAAGGTCAAGCAGATCATGTAAAGTTTCCATCCATTATTTGTGAAAGCTCACCAGGAAATGATGATATTCGTCTTTTCATTTCTCACTGGCTGTAAACACTGATTTATTTGCAAATGTTTTATGCATTATTTCAGTTTTGGATTCTTCTGATAGAGCTGTGTTTGTAACTCACTGCGTCCTCCTCTGTCACTGACGCTCCAGCCTCCAGAAGGACCTTCACCACCTCAGCGTGTCCACCAGCAGCAGCCAGATGAAGAGGACACAAACCATGAGCCTGATGGAAACAACACATGTAGGCTGATTACACACACACAAAAATGGGTTATTGGCTTATTCTTACAAACATAGTCAAGTCACAATGGTAGCATACGGATGTGGGCCGCTTTAGGCAGTTATGCGGCACTGGTGGTCTTCCTTCGGCCCAGACAAAATGAATGTGAACCTGAAGTGGCCCACTTGTACAACAGCAAAGGGGGCCGAAGATTCAAATTCACAAATGGGTCATTTAAGGCAAAGATTTGGCACTTATGGCAAAAGTAATCTGAATATGAGCCTAATGTGGCCCATGTGGAAAATGATCAGTTTGGCCCAAATGATGGAGGACAAATGTGGGCCACAATTGGTAAAATAGTGGCATAGTCATTTAAGGGTAATCTGGGTCTAAACCTAAAGAGGCCCACACGTGTGGGTGCAAATGTGGCCCAGTTATCTTAAGACATATGTGGGCCACTTTTGGCAAATATTTGGCATAGTAAGCTCTGGCTATTGTGGCTGTGAGCCTAATGTGGCCCAGAGAAAATATGGCAAACGTGGCCCAGTTATCTTAAAACACATGTGGGCCACTTTTGGCGAATATTCGGCACAGTAAGCTCTGGCTAATGTCCCACATAGCAAAATTTCTCTGGCCCAGCTCTGGCCCACACAATCAGGTTTTGCTTGGCCCACATGCCGCAGTGAATTACGGTACATGACTGGACCAAATCTGGCTTCCAGACAAGGGCCAAACACAGACCATATCTGGGCCAAAGCGCTGTTCACACAGGCGAGGACGTTACGGAATTTTTCCGGACAAGAGCATTCACACATCCATTCCAAAATACCGGTAATTCTGACATCATTAACCAGAAATGAGCTCTAAACGGCTGCGCTTGTATTTGTAAACATTTGACTACATTACAAACTCTGTGGATGGATCAGTATTGTGAACAACTTCGATGAAAACATATAGAGAAACACTTCGCATGTCAATATGTACATGATATGTGTGTGTGCTGGCGCTCATGGACTGTTTCATGGGCACACGAAAAGCTTGAAGGTAAACAAACAACGGCTTATCATAAGCATCTTATCGATAATTATTTACACGGTTGGCATTAGGATGAACATATAAACGTGATCTGACTAACATCTAGCAGCTAAATGTGTCTGGAAAAATATTCAAAGGCTTTTATTCTCACAAACCGCGCGCACGTAAATGCGTCTGACTGTTGTGATTGGCTAAAGCAGATGTCTCACGTCAGCACATTCTAGACGTGCACGCGCTCTTTCCGGCAATCTTCCTTTTGCAATCACACAGCGCAGCATTCCGGCAAATTGCCGGTAATGTTACAACTTCTCTTTGCGGAAAATAGCCAGAATGAATTTACTGGTATTTTCAAAAATGGCCTGTTCACACATAGACACCTTTCTGGAAAATCTTCCGTAAAGGTGTGTATGTGTGAAAGGGGCTAATGCCTTGGCTTAACTGCGGCCCAGATCTGACACACAGGAGCAGACCGCCCAAGTGCCATCATTCCATGCAGTATGTGGACTGGATGTAAGTGTCTGGTGTGGGCCGGATTTGAGCATGATTTTTGCTAGCTGGGGTATTTGCACAGGGACTTTTAATTTTCAGTAAGTCAGCCTAATTGCTTCCAGTGAACAGTCACGCCATTGCAAAATCTCAGATTTAAGATCTGATTCCTTTAAAAATCAATGACCTTCACTGGCTGAATGGGATACAATAAAAAGTCGGACTTTTCCAACACATTTCTACACATAATAGTTTTAATAACTCATGTCTAATAACTGATTCATTTTATCTTTGCCATGATGACAGTAAATAATATTAGATTAGATATTCTTCAAGACACTCCTATTCAGCTTAAAGTGACATTTAAAGGCTTAACTAGGGTAACCAGGGTAAAGTTAGGGTAATTAATTAGGCAAGTCATTGTATAACAGTGGTTTGTTCTGGAGACAATGCAACACTAATATTGCTTAAGGGGGCGAATAATATTGACCTTAAAATAGCTTTAATAAAATTAAGAATTGCTTGTATTCTAGCCAAAATAAAACAACTAAGACTTTCTCCAGAAGAAAAAAGATTAGAGGAAATACTGTGAACAATTCCTGAATCTGTTCAACATCGTTTGGGAAATATTGGAAAAAGATAACAAGCGCTGCTGTGCTGACCTTGTGGTTGAGCGTGCCGACTCCTCCTTGGTTAAACATGAGCAGTTCTCTGATGACAGACACACTCCCTTTGGCCGCAGCGATGTGTGTGCATGTCGACCCATCCTCGTTCGCTAGTGTCGATAACTCAGGTCTGAGTCTCAGAAACAACTTCACCACTTCTGAATGATCGCTCTCGGCCGCCAGATGGAGAGGAGTCTGACCTCGCTGAAACAACCAGATCAATTAGAGTTACTGAAACATTTATAAATCAGCATTTCTAGATCAGCATTTCTAGATCAGCATTTACAGATCAGCATTTATAGATCAGCATTTATAGATCAGCATTTCTAGATCAGCATTTACAGATCAGCATTTCTAGATCAGCATTTCTAGATCAGCATTTCTAGATCAGCATTTCTAGATCAGCATTTCTAGATCAGCATTTCTAGATCAGCATTTACAGATCAGCATTACTAGATCAGCATTTATAGATCAGCATTTCTAGATCAGCATTTCCAGATCAGCATTTCTAGATCAGCATTTATAGATCAGCATTTATAGATCAGCATTTATAGATCAGCATTTATAGATCAGCATTTACAGATCAGCATTTCTAGATCAGCATTTCTAGATCAGCATTTCTAGATCAGCATTTCTAGATCAGCATTTCTAGATCAGCATTTCTAGATCAGCATTTACAGATCAGCATTACTAGATCAGCATTTATAGATCAGCATTTCTAGATCAGCATTTCCAGATCAGCATTTCTAGATCAGCATTTATAGATCAGCAGCATTTATAGATCAGCATTTATAGATCAGCATTTCTAGATCAGCATTTCTAGATCAGCATTTCTAGATCAGCATTTCTAGATCAGCATTTATAGATCAGCATTTATAGATCAGCATTTATAGATCAGCATTTATAGATCAGCATTTACAGATCAGCATTTCTAGATCAGCATTTCTAGATCAGCATTTCTAGATCAGCATTTCTAGATCAGCATTTCTAGATCAGCATTTCTAGATCAGCATTTACAGATCAGCATTACTAGATCAGCATTTATAGATCAGCATTTCTAGATCAGCATTTCCAGATCAGCATTTCTAGATCAGCATTTATAGATCAGCATTTATAGATCAGCATTTATAGATCAGCATTTATAGATCAGCATTTCCAGATCAGCATTTCTAGATCAGCATTTCTAGATCAGCATTTATAGATCAGCATTTATAGATCAGCATTTATAGATCAGCATTTATAGATCAGCATTTATAGATCAGCATTCCCAGATCAGCATTTCTAGATCAGCATTTCTAGATCAGCATTTATAGATCAGCATTTCTAGATCAGCATTTATAGATCAGCATTTCTAGATCAGCATTTCTAGATCAGCATTTCTAGATCAGCATTTATAGATCAGCATTTATAGATCAGCATTTCTAGATCAGCATTTATAGATCAGCATTACT